TATTACAAATAACTTCATTTCTGGACATTTATGGTTTGATTTCTTTGTATGTATGGATCACTTGGGTTGTTATCGACATCTGGTGAAAATTTGTTCAATACTTATTTTACCTGCTGTATATAAAAAAATATATAACAGAGGAAAAAAATTATTTTTACACATTTTTTAACCAAACTGACAAGTTTCTCCACTAAAATTATTGTGTAATTTAAAGGCACTGAAACACCTGGTTAAGTTTGGAAGTTATTTATCATTAATTACAAACACCTGAAGCTGACTCAGAGAACTCTGATTTTAGAAAAAAATACCCCCCAGCTGCAGTCCGCTTGCACCTCCACCCCACCCGCGTGTGATTAAAGGGGCAATATCATGTAAAATCAACTTTTTTGAGTTTTATATCGTTATAATGTTATACTCTCATAAAAAACATGTCCAAAGCCTTGCTCTGACTCATTCATGCATGTTTGAGAAATCCTGCAGCGTTTTTAGGAAGCCATGCTGAGGAGCAAAACGACAGGTGGGGACCAGAAACGGCCCTGGGACGTGTCTTTAAGCCGAACTTCCTCATCACGGAGCACACCTCCCCACCCCCCACACCCCGCCCATGACTCCTGCAGGCTCTCAGCAGTAACAAAGCAAACGAGTGAAAGTAAAAGTTAAACTGTCTGCTGCTCTTAACATAACTTCTCACTCAGTGAAGCTCTTTTCAGATTCAAAATACCTTTGAGGAAATGTATTTTCAGATGCCAAGTAAACTGCATCATAGAAGGAATACGCGATATAAACGATATACGGTAGAAACGATATAAATTTGTCCTATGATAGAGATCTGTAGTCTACCGGCCAACCGCGCAATTCTTTTTGATGACTTAACCGGCTGGAGTCAAAACAGAGGAAGCGGGAAGCAGCCTGGCTGAGAGCGCAAATGAGGAGGGGGGAAAAAAACATAACTTATCCGGACCTGGTTCAGGTGTGTGAAAATGAACGCCGAACTGTTTACATGTTTACGTGATGGCGTGTCCTCCGGTCGAATGCCGACCGACCACACTGCTTGCTGCGGGAGGAGCGTGCGCCGCGGCACATGACGCAGCAAGGCGACTGTCAGTGCAGGTGAATTAGTGCTCCAGGACGCACAAAAGCTCGCCGAGTCTGGACCTTGTTTCTCCTGCGGTCATAGTGCGACGCCGCACGGCCGAATGCGCATGCACTCCACGCCCACTTCACGCGCGTTCCAAAGTGCGACTATAAAACTCAGCCTTTACTGTCTCCTTGTACAATGGAGAAGCGCTGTGGGAAAGGGTGACAGTCAGACTGTCTTTCAAAAAAGAAAAAAAGTAAAGCATAAACGGGATGATTGTCACCCTGCCAGAGTGCGCACAGATTAAACACGTGGAGTGCAGAAAAAATAATCTGCAAAGTGTGGAGAAAGGAATAAATACCAACAATTTGTTTTACCACCTTAAAACAAAGCAGGTGATTCCAAACACAACATCCAATTCTGTCCTCCTTGTTCCTAATCAGGGTCAGGGTGGGGGATGAAACCTGTTGCATTTCTGGAAACCCAGGACGGCAACCAAAATGCAAGAATAATGTGACAAAAATTTCAAGTGGATATCATCAACTTGTGTTTACTATGCATGTTGAAGATTATAAATATACAAAAGTTTGGAAAAAATATCAATAGGATGTACAGGGGAGACGTTTCTGCAATTCAATTAGGTTAATTTTAGCATTTTTTGTGTTTACTCCAGTTGTTATGCATCAAACGTGATCTAATCATGGGAATTTATTCTCAACCCATGAAAAGACAAAAATAAAATAGGGTGAATGGTGTCTGTCAGATATAAAATTTAGGATCTATGTTGATCTAAAATTTTCATTTTATACTATGGAAAATCCAGGTCAGCCAATAAAGATGGTTAAAAACATAAATGGGACAATAATTGGCTTTGGGGGTCATAGCAATCCATTTACTAGACACCTTAAGGATTACAAAAAGCTAGGTTAGAAAAATATATCTTTGGGGTGCATGGGACCCCCACCTTCCTACTAGACTAATGATGGTCCTCACTCTGCAGCAGGCGTAAAGTACACACACAACACACATACATACACAGAAGATGTTTGGGCTGAAACAGTTTTTGAAACCGTCATCATAATGAAGAAAAAATACTGGTATGCCAACAGTTGTAGATATAAAAATTTCCATTTAGACCACTTATATTTACATTACCCTCAGGAAAAGTTGGGACGAAAACATTCCTATGCTAGAAGTTCTTCAGTTGATTTTATATTGCCCTCTTGTGTGAAAAGGTTTTAATTATAAATTTGGACAAAATAACTGAACATTTATTGTTTTTGTCCCATGAAGACTTAACTGAAAAAGACTCACTGGTTGGAGTTTTACACTACTTTGCTGTGCTGAATGAAACAGCACCAAGCTTGACATTTTGCAGTAATTTGCTTCTGATTTGCAAATACTCCTGTGTAAAGAGGAAGTACACTTTGGCTGCAGGTCAAAGATAACAATAAACTTTCTAGCTTCAGTTTCAAACAACCATTTCCTGATGCTTCCTGGTGCTTATTTCCAAATTCTGTATGTTAAACAATAAACCAACAAGCACATTCCTGTTCTAACTCTTCTCTCTAGTCGTATCCTATTTCTTTGCATTATTCACTTTAGTTTGTTACAGTTTAACTAAGTCAAACAAGTAAATAATTTCATGTTTCATG